TTTACATGAATCCCTCTATCGGATGTTATAGTTGAACTTTTACTAGTTCAAACATAAACAAGCTAACCCTTTTCAATATCTTGTAGTACTTGCTAAAATTATTGGAAAGAAAAATATGTTTAGCAGAGCATCGGTTAGTTGTTATAACAAGTATGAAAACTAATATATTAGTAGTTCAAATAAACTAAGAAGATTAGTGTAGAGCTTAGCTTGAATACCTGAAATTATGAAATCAAATCCTTCTCAATTAGTAACTTGGCTATAAGTGATTAGTTCTTCTTCTGTAATTCCTTTGACTTCGCTGCTTCTTGCTCCTTCTCATAATGATCTTTCGTTCCAGTTCTGCAATGATTCTTACAAGCTATTTCAGATTTCCAGTTGAAATCATGAAATATACTATGGATAATCCAATACATAGTCCACTTCCATAGCCCATAAGAGCAGCTTTCCAAAAGTCTTTGAGAAATTCAGAATTGCTTTCTTGATCATCTAGTGCAGGTACGGTATAATTTGTCTCTAATACCCCATCATAGCCACAACCTCTCGAAACTGGGAATCCATGTAATCTGTCATTACCTTGATATGAATTGTTCTGAAATGTAGCAAATTGAGGTCCTCTAGGAATGCATCCTTCAAGATAATTGTGGGAGAGATTTAAGAATTCAAGAGACGTCAAAGAAGCAAGTTGTTGTGGTATCTCTCCCGAAAGATGGTTAAATGAAAGGTCTAATGATTCGACTACTGATAAATTTCCAAGTGATGGTGGTATATGGCCTTGCAATCTGTTATGAGATAAATTTAGCACCCTAAGTGCAATGAGATCTCCCAAAATACTTGGGATATGTCCTTCAAATTTGTTACTTGAAAGATCGATAGCAGTGTAAGCAGTCAAAATTTTAACAAGTTCAAGCTCCAATCCCTTGGTTGCAACTGTTATGGAATCATGGTAATATCCATTTACAAAATAAATATTAACATATGTTGGTGACATCATTGTTTGATCCATTGTCGTCATAGCTTTCAAATGTTGAAACAAACTTGTTGGCAAGTTTCCCGTCAAGGCATTGTAAGATATATCTATAATTCGAAGCTCGGGAAATCTGTTTTCGATCCTTGAAGTTCTAATTGATCCATGTAATTTATTTGATCTTAGGCTTAAAACTTGCAACTTTGGAAGAGTTCCTAACCACATCGGGAATGTGTCAATGAGGTGATTATCTCCTAAATCGAGAACTTGCAACTTTTTGCAATTAGCCAAAGATACAGAGATGTTGCCCTCTAGTTCATTGTCGTGTAAGTTGAAGCTTTTGAGTACACTTCCAATGCTAAAAGTTGTTGGAAGAGTCCCTGAAAGATAGTTGTTGTGCATATCCAAAACCTCAAGATGACCACTCATGTTGCCAAAACATTGCGGAATTTGTCCCTTGAGGTTGTTTCTTCCCAAATTTAGATTTCGTAGTGATGTTAAATTGCAAATTGACAAAGGAATGGAGCCAGAAAGTTGATTTGCATAAAGATACAAAAGGGACAAGTTGTTCAAATTCCCCAATGAAGCAGGAATAGAACCATTAAGAAAGTTAGTACTCAAAACTAGCTTGGTAAGAGACCTTAGGAAACCTATTTCTTCAGGAATGGAACCGGAAAGCTGATTTTCATATAGATATAGAGTAGACAAGTTGGTCAAATTCCCAAATGAAGCCGGAATAGAACCACTGAGAGAGTTTTTCCTCAAACTTAGCTCAGTAAGAGACCTTAGGTGACCTATTTCTTTTGGAATAAAGCCAGAAAGCTGATTCTTATAAAGATACAAAAAAGACAAATTGGTCAAGTTCTGCAATGAAATAGGAATAGAACCATTAAGAATGTTAGAACCCAAAGATAGCTTAGTAAGAGACCTTAGGCAACCTATTTCTCCCGGGATGGGGCCATTTATATGGTTGTCAAATATGCGGAGAGTCTGAAGCTTTGCTAGTGAGCCAATCTGTGGTGGGATTGTGCCTGAAATTTTATTGTTGGACAATTGGAGATGGACAAGATTAGTGAGATTACCAATCTCAGGTGGGATGGTGCCAGAGAAATTGTTCATGCTAAGATCAAGATACTTGAGAAAAGGGAGAGATGAAAATGGAAAATCATAGTGTACCAATTACACTAGCATTTGTAATATTCAACGTGTTTACCCTACCATTAAAGCATTTAACCCCGTACCAGTCCCTACATGCATTAGAACTTAGTGTCCATGAAGCCAATAAGGAGTTGTTCTGGTTTTGTAAAGTTGCTTTCCATTTTAAGAGAGCATTTGCTTCCTCAGTAGAAGCAAAAGTAACGGTAAAGAGGTATAAGAGAGTGAAAGACTGAAGTATAGAGACTATTTTGGGAACCATCCTCGTATATTGCCAAATGATTTTGAATTGGATTGTTTGGTTTGATGAAATTGTTGCGGGGTACACTTTTATATCGTAGTATATCATATTAGAAGTCTTGCGTGTAAATTGTGGCATAGAATCTGAATAACTTTGAAGTCAATGAGTCTTTGTCTCTCTACCATGTAAAATCATCTCAAAAACTTATGGGCAAAAGTTTGGTCATATATGGGATATAGAAGTAATTGGGATGAAATTAAAGAGCAGAGGAAGTTAATTAAAGTCAAGAAAGACGGTGAATGATGAAAAAGGAAGACTAGTTGTTTCTCAAGTCCTTGTGGGAGTCTTGCTGTGCAAATGTCAAATGAAAGCTACAACACATTCAAGTCTTCATTTACTGTTACTACTCATCCAAGTGTTCTTCTACTATTTTGAACTATTAAAAAAATACCCTTTTTGTGACTCTCCCGAAGGAAAGCAGAAAGCTAAACAGAAATTTCAATTTAATTTATTGGAACACAAATTCTTTACAGATTACCGAGTCTACTGTGACTTACGGGTCCTGAGAAGTGAGTGGTTTAACGGTGAATAAGTGGCCTTATTATCAAAGAAATGGGTGAAAACCACAGGAGTATAAGGCTTAAATCTCACCCAAGACAACTGTACATTGTTAATATATTATGTACGTTAGAGTCTCATATTGATTGGGACAGAAGCCATAGATAGTGGAAAGGTACAAGGCCTGCTAGTCCAACAAGATGGTACAATAACACGGTTTCAACTCATTGAAATAAACCTTCATTTTATCAATGCTTATAATTTTATCCCACAATGTAATTATTTCCAAGTTCCACTTTTGACCAATTGTAAATTTGAATGGAAATAGGGAAACTAATGTTTGTTATTCTCAAGTCAATGCATAAGTCTTGCTAAGTAAATTTCAAAAGAAGCATATACTAGCCAAAAAAGTAGAGAAATGTCATCCTCAAAAATTAGACATGATTAAGAAGAAGAACAAAGTTGCCACGGATCTTTCTTTTTTTTTGTGTATAATTATAAGATATTGAGTTATTGATGGACCTAATTGGACATGGTATTTAGAATGAGATGTGACTTTTTTTCTTTTAGTTTCTTATTCGGTTTTGATATTCATATTAGGGACCTGATTAATCTGGATTCTTGCCGCGTCAGACTTATCAAAGGGGAAAGCATCAAGTTTGTGCGCAAAATGTCAGTCATTGTGGTTGGTCTTCATATATTGTCCATGTTTTTTTACTTTTTTGGAAATTTGAAGTTCGTTTTTATTGTAAAAACTGTGTAACTGTTGATTATTTATGCGTAAATCTTTAGTTCAAATACTCATTTATTGATTTGCTTGAAGAATCTCAAAACTCCATTGTGATGGTTCCATTGGTTGTGTTTTAATCACACAACTTTAATACATGTTAGTGTGTATTTGTACAATCAAAAGAAAAGAGGAAAGGGGAAATGTAGAGCGAAAAGTCAGCAAGAACTGCTGCATTTATATGAAATAATCAATCAATTCAAAGTTTGGAAAATGTTGTTATCCTCAAGTCTATGCCCAAGCTCAAGTCTTGTCCATGGAAATGTTGAATGATTGTGTTCATTTGTCGGAGAATATAATCTTTTCAGTTTTTCTTTTCCATAATCAAGCTCATGCACTCAAAAAAGAATCTTGCACACCAACTATCAAAGTTCATAATCAAGTTGTTTGTGCAACAATCAAATGAAGTGGTTGAAAACCATATGAGGTCTACAGGGTTCAAATCTAGTAGAGACGAGAAACACTAGTGATTTTTGAGATGTTGAAATTGGGCTTTTGGTAGTAGAATATTAGCAACATGGTCATGAGTGCTAAGGTAATGAATAACCAAGTTCACCTTTTTCAACATTCTTACTGATGTCAAATGCCAATCTCATGTCAAACTTAAAGTGGATCTCCTTGAATTACCACTGACTCAGAGACGATGCCAGGATTTGAATATGGCTAATTTGATTTATAAAAACTGAGATATTCAAGTTGTGTTAACTTTTCAATAGCTTCTTGGATGACATTGTTGCTCATGTCCAAGAAAGATAGTGGAAAGGTACAAGGCCTGCTAGTCATTAAAATAAACTTGATTTTCTGTCAATGCTAACAATTTTATTCCACAATGTAATTATTTCCAAATCCACCTTGACCAATTGTAAATTTAAAAAGAAAGAGGGAAATTAAAGTTAGTTATTCTCAAGTCAATGCACAAGTCTTGATATGGAAATTTCAAAAGAAATCAATTATTGTTTGAGGGGGTAACAATTTAAAAAAAAAAAGTAAGTACAGGGTGTAATTAGGACTAGGTATAGTTCATGTGGAATTTGAATTAAACACGTCAAGTTTAGGGGGTCTTTAGATATTCTGCCTTATAATTATAATAATAAAGTTATTGAGTTATTGATAGACCTTATTAGACATGATAATTAGGAGACATGATTTATTTTTATTTTTTGGTTTTTCATTTAGTTTCTGATAGTCACATTAGAGACCTGACTAATCTGAATTCGCGCAATGTAAAAAAAACTACAACATTCATTGAATACATTGAAATTCATAATCCACCATCACCAAAACAAGCATCATATTGCATCTCCAATGAGGCATTTCACCAACTGGATTCTTAGTGCCGCCTTTGACGGCCTCGCTGCTGCTTCTTTTTTCGCCTTCTCATAACGATTCTGTATTCTAGTTCTTCAGTGATCCTAGAAAGCCAATTGGAATTTCGACTCGAAAGCATGAAATATGCTATGAAGAGTCCAATGATAAGTCCACTCCCATATCCCATAGGAATTGTCTTCCTAAATTCACTTAGAAATGTGGAGTTGCTTTCTTGATTCAACACTTGTGTTGTGTTGTTTCTCTTTGGCATCTTGCGACTTCCACAATCTTCTGAAACAGGGAATCCACGCAATCCATCATTACCATCATATGAATTGTTCTGAAATGTAGCAAATTGACGTCCTATAGGGATGCATCCTACAAGATGATTGTGGGAGAGCCTTAAGAATTCGAGATATGTAAGAGAAGCGAGTTGTTCTGGTATCTCTCCTGAAAGTTGGTTGAATGAAAGGTCCAATGATTCAACTACAGATAAATTTCCAAGTGATGATGGAATATGACCTTGTAATCCATTATGAGACAAATTCATCACCCGAAGTGCAATGAGATCTCCTAGAACACTAGGGATATGTCCTCCAAATTTGTTGCTAGAAAGATCAATGGTAGTGTACAGAAACAAGATTCTCACAACTTCAAGCTCCAATCCCTTTGTTACCACAACTACTGAATCTTGGTAATATCCATCTCTTCCATTACTTGGTGACTTTGTCAATGGATCAATCGTCCTCATGGCTTTCAGATGTTGAAATAGACTCGTAGGTAAGTTTCCTGAGAAGGCATTGTAAGAGAGATCTATTATTCGAAGCTGGGGAAACAAACTTGCAACCCTTGAAGGTTGAATCGACCCATGTAATTTGTTGGATCGCAAGCTTAAAACTTGCAGCTCAGGCAAAGTCCCCAACCACATTGGGAATGTGTCGTTGAGGTGATTGTCTCCTAAATCAAGTACTTGCAACCTTTTGCAATTAACCAAAGATCGGGGGATTTTCCCCTGTAGTTTATTACCATGCAAGTTGAGGCTTCTGAGTGAACTTTCAATGCTAAAAGTCGTTGGAAGAGCCCCTGAAAGATTGTTGTGGTGCATATCCAAAACCTCGAGAATGTAACTCATGTTACCTAAACATTGTGGAATTGCTCCGCTCAAGTTATTTTTTGCCAAAACGAGCATTTTTAGTGACATCAAATTGCAAAGAGACGAAGGAATTTCCCCACTAAGATTATTTTCTGATATGAAGAAGTATCTCGTGGAAATAGCTGGAATAGGTAGTGACCCTTGGAGAAAATTGGACCGCAAATCAATAGTATCTAGAGATTGAAGAGGAATCGAGTCCATGCTTGTCAACATATTGTGAGATAAATTAAGAGTTGACACTGAAAATTCCCAATTAGACCATGCCCAATCAGGAATCCTTCCTTGAATCTTATTATTTGAAAGATCCAACTCCTTGAGATTCTTCGCGGATCTTAGAAACTCAAATTCTTTCACTTCACACGCGGCCAATCCTAACTTCTCAAGAGATTCAGGCAAAGTAGATTTAACTTTATCCTCATTGGTCAATGTGATACGATTATATGAAAGACCAAGATCTAAAAGATACTTGAGGTTCGAAAAGAAGCTAACATCCACACTACCACTAAAATTATTCGATGAAAGATCAAGAGTTGTTAGGTTCACGAGGTTTTGAATTGACGTGGGAAGATGGCCTTGCAGCTGATTGTCTTGTAAGTAAATCCAGACAAGTGAATTGGACTTGAAATCCTCAAGCTGACCAGAAAATTGGTTATTACTCAAGTATACTAAACTTAGTGATGGAAGGGAGAATATCCATGACGGAATTGTTCCATTCAGGGAGTTATCTCCTAGATACAAAGACTCTACGTGGGTGAGATTTGAAAGAGATCCGGGAATAGGCCCTCTAAGGTTGCAATTTTGAAGAGTCAAAGACTGCAACGAAGTTAGATTGCCAAGAGACTCGGGTAAAGTATCAGAAAAATTCACGTCAGTAAGATCTAACTCTATGAGAGATGCGCTACTATTCCATTTGGTCTTTGGAAAATAGCCATTGAGCTGATCATTGTGATGTAAGTCAAGTCTTTCCAAGTTGGGCAAGTGGAAAATACTCTCGGGTATTATCCCGTACAATCCTGTCCAACCCAACCTCAAAGTTGTTAAATGAGAAGAAAAAATTGGAGGAATGGTGGAAGAGATGTTTATGGATCTAAGATTAAGCTCTCTTAATTGGGTCAAATTCCGAAGGAGTGATTTAAAATCATGACTTGCGAGTCTTAGCTTATTGAGATAAAATGTGTAGAGAAGAAGGGAATGTAACTTGGAAAGATGAGAGATTTCAGAAGGAATTTGACCTGAGAAATATGACCGGGAAAGATCAAGATGAGTCATGCTTGAAAACCTGCCAAATTTAGGCGAGATTTGAGAACCGTCAAAGTTATTCATAGAAAGGTTGAGTCTTTGGAGATGAGAGAGTTGGAATAGGCTGCTATTGGAATCAATCACCCCAACAAGCAGGCTGCAACCGAGGTCAAGTTCAATGACATGACCACTCATCTCGTCACACTTCACTCCATCCCATAAACAACAATCTTTGCTTAAGTTCCATGAGCTCGTCTTTGGATAAGACTCCTGGCCAAGCATAAGTCCACACATATCAAATGTATCTATCGTAAACGTCTGCTTGAATTTTAGAAGGGCGGTACTTTGATGTTTGGGACACAAATGAGACCGTAATATGGAAGAAGAGAAAACAAGTTCGTGACGGAGAAAGACAAGTAAGAGCACAACTGAGAGTTGCTTGTAGTCCATGTTTGAATGAAAGAGTTCAAAATTTGGTAGTGAAAAATATGAAGAACCAATGCAAATATATATAATAAGGCAAAAACTATGATTGATAGTGAAATATTTGTTGTTTTTCAAGTCAATGCATAGCAAGTCTTGCCATGGAAATTTCATAAGAAAGTGGAACACTATTTTCTACTCTAATTGTAGTGGATTAAGGGCCCCATTCTCCACTATTGTTGTTATTGGATATACGCGCCGAGTGTTGGGAATTGTTGGGCACGATTGATTGCTCACAACTTGAATTTTATTATTGCAAACTACACAGGAAAGACCAGCTTTGGTCTTACAACTCTTTACACTCAATTGGTCGAATTCGTTGCATTTGGGTTGGATCCATTTCCAATGACTTGCATAAATGAATAAAGATCTATGACTTTACAACAATTATTACGCCCTTAGTCTCATAGAAGTTGGATCGGCTATTTTATTCTAACTGATTACGTTATTTCATTTAAATCATCCCATGCTTATAAGTAAGGGTTTATCGTGAAATTGGCGAAGCTACTTGGAATGTGAGAAATTTATGTTTCATGTCCCAAAAGATAAGAGTATAATCAAACCTGTTGTTTATGGGTTGCATAGGCATCTAAAACAAATAAAGAGATGATGAAATTAAGTCAAGAAATATAATGAATTGTGAGTGGAAATTTCAAATGAAAGTTACTTTATACACAAATTCAAAATTTCAAATGAAAGCTACCTAACACACAAACATTTTACTTTGATTTTCCATTTTGACGTGATTACACATTAAGACAAAGCAAGATAATTACAAAACAAAAACAAATTTCGATTTCTCAATCCAAATTTAACAGCATAGCGTAACGTAATTCTTATTCTGATGTATTAATGTTAATTGATAGTATATATAATGTTAATTAAAACACAAACTACATAACATGTAATTTAACTCAAATACATTAGTTAATAAGATCTCACTCAAGATCTGTTGTTAAGAATAGAGGGATCTCACCTATTCCACCACACCTTTGGTGCTAAGTGCAATTTCGAAAAGAAAGAGGTGATTAGACTAGAACTATTAGGGGTCGTTTGGTTTGAATATGAGTTGTGATGGGATAAGTTATGTTGGGATAAGTTATGTTGGGATTAGTTATGATGGATAAGTTGTCCTGGGATTATTTCTTATTGAGTGTTTGGTTTGTTATATTCAAAATAATATATATTGATAAATTTTAAGAACAAGTTGTTTGTTTACAAAATTACCCTTCACTTTATTTAAACTTTTTAATTTTTTCTTTGTGAGCTTTAGTTATTCATTTTTTAAAATAAAACTTTTATTTTTTTTTAACTTAAATATTTTTGTTCATGTATTCCCATGATAAGTACCATGTGTATTTAAAAATATAACTTTTTTCTTATTTAGCTTAAAAATAGAACTTTCCTCTTAAGTTTATTAAAGAGAAGAAAATTTATGAGATATCAAAATAAAATAAACATAAGAATTAGTCAAATAAATTCATAAATAAAAATTATATTTATATAGTATAATTTTTTAATAGAAAAATATGTATAATTATCATAAAAATAAGGAGTAGTAAATATTATTATACATGGTATTAAAAAAATGTAAATATACATAAATGTAAAAAATGATACATAAAAAGGATTTAAAGGGACATAGTTGTCATTTACCTATTCTATCTCGGGATAAGTTATCCCGGGATTACTATACCACCCATGGGGAGGGATAACTTATCCCGGTACTAATTATTAATCCCGGGATAAGTTATCCCGGACTTGCCAACCAAACAACATAATTTTTTTTTTATCCCATCACTATTATTTCTAATCCCTCACACCAAACGAGCCCTTAGGGTAAAAAATTATCACCATAAACTTCTTAATTTTAGATACAAATGTATAAAATAATTTATGTAGTGAAATAAAACACGTATTTTTACTCTAAAAAAAGGAGAAAAAAGTGTTCAAACAAAGACTTAAATTTTGTCATTCTCAAGTCAATGCACAAAGTCTTGTACATGGAAATGCTAAATTATAACGGGGTCCATCTGTTTTGAGGAGAAAAAAATAATTCCAAACAAAGATCACTCTCATTCTTATGATTTATTACCAACTCTTAGACATCAATTAGTTCATCAAGGCTCAAAATGTTCAAGGTTTTTATATAGTATCGTCGATCTAATATTGTCACAATCGACTTAGAACCTCGATTGGTTTGGCACTCACTTAGTCAGACTAAGCGTACCAAGCAAGCGTAAACTCCTTTCTTGTTTTATATTAAATTTTGACAAAAAAAAAATTATATCAAAAACCATCTATGAATTTATACATGTCAGTCCACTAAAATCTATCATACCACAATATATCAACATGCTAAATGTCATACAAGCCAAAAACAAAATTTACAAGACCGACTTAAGAAGCAAAGCTCTATATTTAAACAAAAATGATATTCTAAAGGCCTTACTAAAATGATGTCATGCATTTTATGAAATCATTAATAGCAATTTATTTAAAACCAATACTATTATATTTCGTGTATGAAAATATTTCTTTGACATATCTAACGATTTCAACGTCAGGTATAAATTCATAGATGGTTTTCGATATAATTTTTCGAAAAGACACCACGTAAAAGTATAATGTTTCTTTGAATTTTTCTTTAGTTACTGTATTAATTTTTAATAATAATAAATTGTCTAAATTTAGGATAAATTTGAAATTTAATCTTTACTAGGTTGTTTTAGTTGTAGAAAAATTCTAGCTTTTTCGAATTTTGAATTACAGATTTTTTGTCTATTATGTGCTCAAATTGGCTATTTAAAATCCTCCTATGCTTAGTAAAATCTACATTTCAATTAATATTTTTTGCTGCCTCGTCTTTTAAAAACCAATGATTTTTCTTTATAGCACAATATATTTTACAGTTTCTTTTTAACAAGATTCAAATCCAAAATACATAGGACTGGAAAATAAATTGAGGATTGTAAATAAAAGTCAAGTAGCAATAAGCATCATTTGGCGTATTTCAGCATATCATTTACACTATTACTCGTTCTTATGCAAGTAATATTTTTTTTATTATCAAACTTAATGTTTTTAATTAATATTTTAATGTAGGAAATCGGTTGCAAACATGTTATGGTTGAAAATCAACTAGGAAAGAGTTGCCATGAATTCTCTTGAATGAGAGGGGTTCTTTAGAGAATACAAACCCATGTGGTGTATGATTTTCGTTAGTTTGTGTTGTAAGGTGTTGATTTAAATTTTGTAATGAGTATAACCTCGGTCTAGTTATCTTTATGAGAATATTCATCGTTTGTGACCTTGCTTCACTTTGATTGTTATTTAAACAAGTAAAATTTCATTACAAACAGTAATTTTGTGGAATAATACAAATTTGCTTCCAAACTATCGAATCCTCAAAGCATCAACGTAACATTTGAACATTATTACTTTTATCCCTAAAACTCATGAAATTAAATGTTTCTTTCAATAAAATATATAGTTTTCGAATCCATTGAACTGTTAAATCAAGTTTCTCATATCTTCAATAGCGACTTTATCATTTTAAATTATTTTTGGAAAATTACAAAAATATACTACTTAAGACTTTTATTAACAAAATATCAATATACTTATATTTAATTACAAACTAAGTTTTTAAATTACATACATAGCAAAACATTTAATTTTTGTATTTATTTTAATTTTGTTTTACAGATTTTTCTCTCTCATACTATTAGTATTTCGTGCCTTTTATATGGAGTATAATTAGGATATTAATATTTACCAAATATTCTCTCTCCTAAACAGTTTCAAATATACACGATTCATTACTTTTATTTTCCCCCCTTTTTTAGGCTTAGTAGACCTTTTGGGGATCATAATTAGTTTATTCCTTTTTTGATAAAATTGTTTTTTTACCAAGAAAGAGGTGTACTTATCAATGTGGAGTTATAGTTTCAAGAAATCTTGAAAATATTTTGGGAAGTCAAAAGGGTTTCTCTTCCATATTCTTCTTCATTTTTCTTAACCTTAATCTTCTTCACATAAACGATTCACAATCCAACTAACCAAAAAATTTATCAATTTTCGATGGAAAAGACTCCACGTAAAAGTATAATGTGTCTTTTTTGTGGTTGATTATACTATGTATTGTACTAATTATGCTGATTGGGTAATATTTGTAGGGATTGTGGTCTGTATACATGTGTTTTTGCTGAATATGTGTGCCGTGGAGATATGAACATATCTATGTCGGGTGTAAATGCTGAAAATCTTCGGTTGAGATTTGGAGCATTACTGTGGGAATATGGAAAGATGAAAATTGATACTGAATCTGTTAGTGAAGATGAAGCTTCTAAGCAATGTGGTCGGTCAAATCGGAGGGTCAAGGAGTAAAAAGTGTTATTTCTTAAGACAGAATTTCATGAATGTTTTATGGTTTTGAATCTCTTTTGTTATTTTGGATTGTACTTTAGTTGCGTTTATGGTTTTGAGTTCGTTGTTGGATATTGTCTTTATTATGTGATTATGCATTTATTTGGTTGCTTTTTTGGTTAAATTTTGTGATAAATTTATAGTGTGAGTTTGGTTTGTACATGTATGAGTTTGGTATAAATTTAGGTATAAATAGGGTTTTACAATTATTGAAAAATTATACTAAATGCTTGTATATGATTGATTGAATTTCTTTCAAAGTTGCAGGTTGGTATACATACTAATGTGTTTACCCCGTTTTGTGTTTTTTCTTTCATATGTAAACTGAT